TGATGTATCCTTTGAAGGAAAAGATGTATAGTAACACGGTTATTACGAGGATACCTCAAAGTATGCACTCAGACAATACACCGTCGCATCGTCCTCCGTGCGCGTCGGTCGATACTCCCACTGTCTTCGTGCATACTTTGAGGTATCCTCGTAATAACTTCACGTGATTTGTGTACCTCGTATAACTATAATAAAGCAATTGCGTTTTCTTGTCAGACCAAGGAAAGAAGGGAGTTTAAACAAGAATGCTTTACAGTTGTTCGACAAACTTACAATAAACATGGTGATGTTCAAGAATCATACGATGCTGTTACTACACCTGTTCTTAATTTTCAGCGCAATATCAACAGGTAAGGCCATCAGTATATATATTTGAACTCACAAGAGTGATCTCAGATTCATGTTTTTCAATTTGAAAGATGATTTGTCTTTGTTAACCAATTGAACGCAGTCACATCGCCCATTAGAATGATACAGATTATGCACAAATGGATGCATTTGCATTGTTAATTACTTTTTTTTTTATTTTGAAAACAATGTGGTACAATCGTGGTAAATGTTACAACTGTTTGTAAAGAAGCGATCTAAATAAAGCTTTATTTGTTTCAGCGTCATCGGTAGTCCTTCAGGGTCAGAAATTGGTTTTTGGTGAGAATTCCAGAGCTGTGATTTCTGAGACTGTTCCCATCCCGACTCTAACCGCCGTCAGTGCGTGCATGTGGATAAAGACGACATTAATGCGCGACATGACTTTGCTCTCCTATGCCGTACCCAATATGTATAATGAGCTTATTTTGTATGGAATAGCGGGTACACGAATGCTGATTAACATAGGAAGCCACGAAACACCTCGTTATTTGTACCACAACCAGCTGACGAACGGCCAATGGCATCATCTTTGCATGGCATGGAGAAGCAGTGATGGTGATTGGAAACTTGTACAAGATTCAGTTGTTTTCGCTTCCGGGAAGCATAAATCCAATTACGTAATTAGTGGAGGCGGCATCATGATCATCGGACAGGAACAGGACGCGTTTGGTGGTGGGTTCGATGTCAGTCAGTCGTTTGTTGGCGACTTAACAGCTTACAATGTATGGCAGCACGCCCTCACATTGGCTGAAATACATTCAGTCATGTCTTGCGGTTATGAACAAGGGGATTTATTCTCGTGGTCGAACGATTTAGCGGTATATGATATGGTTGAAATTACAGATGACGATGCTGTTACATCATGTGGTGAGAAACTTCAATTTAACGTTTCACCAATGTCGTAATAAAATCGACCAATTTTTCAAACATAAATGTTTTGATTAGTGTTTGCCTTAGATACGTTTGATAGGTGACAGCAAATTCCTATCCTAAACAACGTGTGATAGCATATTTTTCGTTCCTCTATAGTTGCAGGCACAGTCAGTTTTGACATCATTAGTGATGTCATTAGCTACGCTATCCCGCAAGGTCATCATAATATCAGCTGGTCTTCTGATTTCTACGACAACACGTACAACGGTTCAGAGAGTAACGGCTTACTGTCTGGGGGCGTTGGTCAGCTCACTGATGGTGTGGTAGTGATAGGCGAATGCTCGCAAGTATTCCGACCTGATACACTGCACGCTTTTGTTGGGTGGAATATGCAGCAACTCGAAGGGGAACTGAACTTCGTGTTCGATTTTGGATTCGTGCGCACTTTTGGATCTGTTGATTTCCTGGTGCCTTGTGCGGGGTAGGTGGTTGTTCTAGAGAATACAAGTGTTCAAATGTTCACCCGTAAACCCTGCCACATAAAACTACATTGACTAAATATTTTCACCATTGTATATTTGTCCATGATGAGGTTTGAAATGGAAATGAATGAGCTCCGCGTGATAACTGTTGACCAATAAAAACGCGCCGTTTCAACAATCGCAATGCATTAATTATTCTACAATAAAAAACAGTTCCGGACATCAATGGATTTTTTTTTAAATTACTAAGTAGTCTGGATGCTGTGTATACCAAGATGCGCAGGAATAATCATTGCAGTATGTTCACGTACATTTAAGTTGTTGTTATGACTAAAATATTATAATAAATAACTATGCTCTCATCACGCGTAGTAATGGTGTAGCAGAATAACAAACATCGATGATTTTTTTTCTGTTTCTTACTCACAAAAGAAATTCTTTATACTCTAAGAGAATGTAACATTTATTTTGTTCCTTTATATTATATCCAATGTAATAGTTCTCCAGATTCGCCATCTTTTGAACTT